AATGGATTGGATTACGTAGGGAAGAGCACATTGTGGGGTTCCAGCCTGCAGCCTCTGAGGCTATCCTGTGGACCTGTTATTCAGCAGCTCCAGAGTGCTCCGGGCACCACATATATGAGTAGCTGACTCACGCAGGGTTATGAAACATGTTCTCCTGGGCTCTGGTGCCTGGGAGGTGCTGCCCTTGGGCCAAGGAAGTCCCTGATGCACCAGGCCACCTTGTTTCCTTAGAAATGTGTGGTAGAGCCTGTGGGGCTGATCACTCTATTTCCAGAGAAAGCTTTTCTAAGTGGAGCCTGATGTAGTTTTGTGTGGGCAGATTGCAAGGACCCACTGTGAACCCAAGGGCAAAAATAGCAGGTGAGGAAGGCAGGTGAGATCTTGAAGATCAGCTGTGGCTAGGAAGAGGGACAAGGAGGTTTGGGCTGGTTGTCGAGGTGGCAGGCTGAAGCTGGGGATCTGAGGTGTGGATAAGGGAGATAGGGGATCCTCCAGCTACCTCAAGAGGGTAGAAGAGCGTTCAATAAGAGAGGACGGCAAGTTTGTGTTTCCTGCTTTCTGTGACAGTTGAGGGTGGGGAACCCAACTGATTGATTCTTAGCAACTTAGGACTTGATTCTTAGCAACCTCAAACACTTCTTCATTTCGCGACTGATTTCCACCCCCCTTTGGTGTACAATTGAAGCTTTGGCTTTTAAAGAACAAAAGGAAGACCTCTAGGATAGTCTCCTGCTCTTGTGAAATCCATTAGACATGGATCACCTCATGGTTCTTTCTTCTCTACTCAGTAATGTTGGCGTGTCCACTATGTGAGGCTTACTGTGTTGGGGGAAGGTGTACAACAATAAACCAAATGGCGGTCCATTCTTTTGTGATATTTGCAGTCTTTGGGAGAATGTAGATGTTAAACAAATAATTATGCAAATAGTTGTGTTCATCAAATTACATGAAGTGCTTTGAAGGGAAGTAGAGAGTACTGTGAAAGTATGGGAAAAAAAAAAGGTATCTAACATAGTGAGAGGCAAGAGAAGCTTCTTTAGACAAGATCAAGCATGTTCAGGTTGATATGGCCGTAGAAGCTTCCTTTGGAAATGTGAAAAATGAGCAGGAGTTTGTCTTTCCAAGGCCCAGGAGGGAACAGAAATGGTAGGGGAAGTGTTCATGGAGGAAATTTGGTATATGTGGAGGCTCCTGGGAAGGTTGTAGGTTTGACGAAGTAAAAGAAGGAGAGTATATTAATGCAGATGGATTAAGCTGCCAGTTCCAGAAAACTCCAGATGACTTTGGACTTGAATAAGAGAAGAGTTCATATGTATTTCATGTATAAAAAAGCAGTCCAGAGCCAGTCAATCCAGGAGTTCTGTGTTCATCAAGTACTCAGGCAACTTCTTAGTGCTTTGGCCTCCTCAGCATATTTCTTCAATCTGATGGCCAAATGGCTGCTCTAGCACTACTGTCACATCAATATTCCAGTCATCAGGAAGGACAGAAGAATCCATCTCTTTCCCTTCACAAGGAAACTTCCTGGAAGTTCTCTGTGTCATCTCTGGCTATATCTCAGCCAAAATTTTGTCACATGGCAATACCTTGTTGAAAGTGGGGGCTGTCTCCTTATTCTAGCCTTAACTAACAGTTGGAGAAAAACGAGAATAATTGATATTGGGAGACACTCGAACAGGTTTATGCCTCAACCAAAATGGCTAAGACACAGTGAGCAAGTTCCAGAGTTTTGAGAGATGAGGCCCAAGTAGGAGGCAAGGCCAGATCTGGAAGGACCCATGGTGAGATTTCTGGATTTTGCCTGGAGAGCAGGGAGAGATCACTAAGTCCTTTTAAGCAGGGCAAAATCTGACTTACAGAGTTTATTTTCATTTTATCTTCTCTCTTAAGTTGTATTCACCCCACCATTGGTACATTCTGTACTCTTTGTACATAGATCCAGTTATTTTTTTATGGTAAGTTCTCAGAGGGAAACTGTTGGGTCAAAGGATATGTACTTTTTTTTTTTTTTCTAGACTTTTGATATTATCGAAAAGTTAGACCTGTTTGCTTTCTCAGAAGTGTATGTTTTCTGGGGCATTTTTGGCCTGATTTTTTTTAATAAGCATCCCTTCCCCCTCAACATTTTTGTGTGAAACATTTCAACATACAGAGATGTTGAAACCATTGTACCGTGAACATCCAGATTCCAGAATTAATGTTTTGCAATAGATTCTTTATCAAGCATCTATTCATCTATCAATCTGTCTTATTTTTTTAGGTGCATTTAAGAGTAAGTTATAGCCTCAGGATACTTTACCCCTGCATCTGTGATTCACTGAGCTTTTCTTCTTTTTCTTTAAGTTGGACTAATACTACCTCTTTATGGTGTGTTGGAAGGATACATAGCACCTGTCATTGCCCAGCACATAATAAAAACTTATTAAATGGGAGAAGTTTCTTTATTGTTTTTACCAGAACAGTCTGACACTGTGTGTTGAACTGTTGAAGACAACTTTTCTTACATACTCTTACTGATGGTGATGGATAATTCCTGAAATTTTTGTTGAGGTTGTTGTCTTTTTCACATATTAATAGCTAAATCACATGTTGTGTTATTTTTTTCTTTTTCAAATTTGGAGGGAAGACTTCAATAATAAACTTCAAAAACTCCAGATGGTCAAGAGCACTCTATGCTGAGTGTGTCAGTCAACTGTCCATTGCTGCAACAAAATACCTGAGATAAACAACTCAAAAAAAAGAAAGTCTTATTTTGGCTCGTGATTTCAGCAACTTCAGTCCATGGTGTCTTGGCACTAGCACTGTGGCCTGTGGCTACATAGAAAATTCTGGCAAGAGTGTGAGTCAAAGAGTACTGCTCACCTCATAGCAGCTGGGAAGCAAAAAGAGACAGTGAGGAAGGGTCCAGGGTTCTGGTATCTCCTTCAATGGCATGCCCCCACTGACCTAACTTCCTTCTACCAGGCTCTATATCCTAAAGGTTCCAGCACCTCCCTCTAGCTCCACAAGCTGGCAACCAAGACTTTATAGCACATGGGCCTTGGGGGACATTTAAGATCCAAACCATAACATTGAGTATATTTAAACACTGACCTCAGAAGGTCCTTATAAAGAAATGCTGTCTTACACTTAATCAGAGTATGCTCTGGGGCATTGCTTTCTCTCTCTTTTTTTCTGATCTTGAACTGACTTGTATTACCCACGGATAGAGCTCAGCCCAGAAAGAGGGGTTCTGCTCTTCCTGGATTCCAGCAGAACAGAGAGAAAATAGGCTCTGAGGCAAAGAATTCTTGCCTTCTTCATTAAGGGGGTTTTCCTCTTTGGGTTAGATCTTGCTCTCTGATTTGCTTCCTATTGAGTTTTTACTCTTGCTTTGTTGTAGCAATGAGTCCATATGGTGATTTTTTTTTTTTTTTAAGGAGGATCCTGGTGGGCAGTGGTGGCATCAGAAGGAAGAGGACCAGTCAGGCGGATTGTAGCCCTTTTTGCAGATGTGTTTGGGTCAAATGACAGACTAATAAGAGCTTTGCACACTCATACAAAAAATGAAACTTAAAAACATTTGTATTTGTGTTTAACTTGTGATTGTTGCAAATTCACTTCAGAGGGGTTCCCAGTGTAAGTAGCTCTGACCAGTGTGTGTCTCCGGAATTGAGTAGGAACAGAAAGACTTTCCCTAGTGTTTCAGAGTGTACCTAGAAACGTGTGTGCCTCCCGCCATTGCTGCCACAACATCTTCCTACCTCCTGCTTTCTGAGAAAGCAGCTGGGCACAGTCCAGCGATACGGAGTGGCAGTGATTATTTGAGAAGGCACATACTTCATTTCAGACCAGATTGCTATTATCAACCTAGATAATTTCTGTGAGTCCTGAAATAGATTTGGCCCACCCGGTGGAGTGTCTGCTTATGACATAGTCGTGAGGTATAGGAGTGGCTAGTTCTGAACTCCATTGTAGATTGGGGCTGCAATCCTAGAGAATACTTTTATTATTTAAAAGTCAGAAAGAGCTCATTGGAATGCAAGCAAGTCTTTTTATATGGATTCTATTTGAAATGGAGCTGCGTGTTCAGGTTCCAGGCTCCTCAGCTATTGAATGGGGATAGTAGCAGCAAGCTCACAGAGGTGTGTGAACATGAAGCATTATAGGGGTGAAGGGGAATTCCTCACTGTCCTCTGAAGGTTCTGGAACAAACTGACAAAGACAGACTAAAGAGGAGAAAAGGAATGCAAATTTATTATTTTATTCTATTTTACTTGCAGTACTGAAGAGTGGACCGAGAGGTGCCCTAACCTTGAGCTATATCCCAGTCACTTTTATTTTTTATTTCAAGACAGCTCTTGCTCAATTGGTCTCAAACTTTCTATTCTCCTGACTCAGCCTCCTGAGTTTTTGCAGTTACATACAAATTTATTAACCTGCAAAATGAAGTTGCTTCTAGGACTAAATGGCGAAAAGGGCTAGTCTGTTCTTCTGAAATCCCAATCTCTTAAATTTCTTTTTTTTTTTAATTTTTTATTGTTGGTTGTTCAAAACATTACATATTTCTTGATATATCATATTTCACACTTTGATTCAAGTGGGTTATGAACTCCCATTTTTACCCCATATACAGATTGCAGAATCACATCAGTTACACATCCATTGATTTACATATTGCCATACTAGTGTCTGTTGTGTTCTGCTGCCTTTCCTTAAGTTTCTTTTGGATGATTTTGATATATATTTGATTTTCTAAATTCCCTTTTAGACTCACTAGTTATCAATGTATTCCTCTGGATGAAGGACACCTTCTGTTTGATTTGTGTTGAATTCTTCTTCTCTTGAAAGAAAGTCAGAGATAAATGGAATAAATTGCTTAAAGTCTCATTTAGTTCTGGAGACAACTTATTTGTAAAGACTCCTCTAAAGGGTTGGCAGTGGTTTGATCATCCAGAAACACCCACTTTGAGGTAGACTTCATTGCTCTGAGTGGCTCATGTCTGTGATTCTGTCTGCAGGTCCAGAGCCTGGTACCCAGTGTGAGCTGTCTCCTGTTAATGCCTCCCATCCCGTCCAGGCCTTGATGGAGAGCTTCACGGTCCTGTCAGGCTGTGCCAGCAGAGGCACGACTGGGCTGCCACAGGAAGTGCATGTGTTGAACCTGCGCCCCACAGACCAGGGCCCAGGCCAGCCGCAGAGAGAGGTAGGTACTAGTGTCGGCTTTCAGCCCACCATCCACTGAGTCTGCAGAGATGCTTTTCTGAACATAGAATCCTTTTCTTCTCTTCAACAAGGATGCTCATGTATGAACACAAGAGAGAGAATAGCACTTAGAATAACAGATGGCTCCCAGAGCTTAGAATAACAGATTGCTCCCTGGCCTAGTCAACTTTAAGCTTTCTCTCTCTAGGGATTGCTTGGCTGCCTCCTTTCCTGGCCCTCCATATCAGGAAGCATGTTTGTATGAATTTTCATCTTCTAAGCATGACTGTGAGGAAGCAAGGTGCCATTCTCTGTAATTTTAATATGTCTCCTCATTCTCACCAGTGGCCTGTCTTTCTTCTGTCCTGCTTTGTCTTATGAACCTCTTCCAGAATGAGTCAGGGAAATGGGAACATTATGGAATAAAGCTATCAGCACTTTGTGTTTCTGTGAAAAGACCTGAGGGAAGTTTCTTATTACTGTCCATGCAGCTTTGCAAAGATGGTAGAGGCCTCAGCCTCCACTGCGAGGGTGAGGATGAAGGTACAAGCCCAGTGCTAACAGTATTTGCTCTGTTCTCAGCACTATTTGAGGCACTCATATGCTACTTCATGAAGCTCTATCATTTTACATGGGAATAAGCAGGTTCAGAGATAGCTTACTAGCTCAGGGTCATCACCTTCAGAGAGAAACAGCCTCCACTTTCTCGTGACCCATGGCTGAGATCATGGGTGCAAGGTCATCATACTTTTTTAAGAGGATGGACTTCCCCCAAGACAACATGCAGTTGTTATTCTTTCTGTTTTTTAGCTTCTATGTCAGAGATGTTATCACTCAGGTATTATCTCTTCAAGGAGAATGAAACCACAGTAAATCCCAATCACAATGAAGCATAGGAAAACTAATGTGGAATGGAATTTATCTTTGAGCTTTCTCTTGGTCAAGAAAGTAAATTTCCAGAACCACTTGTCTATGTGCTATAACCACCCTGTCCATCTGGGGGGAGTAGGGACAGAAGAGGCATGAAGTATCTTGAAGGAAAAGCAAACTGATTCTAATCTCATGAAAGTGTGCAGAGAGTTGGCTCATTTCAAAGACAGATCGCCTAGCCTTTCCAGCTCCATTGGAAATTATTGTTAATACTCTTGGTTGCTTGCCATTGTTGCTGCAACGCATATTTCAGGTCAGATTTCTTTATCCCAGTAATGTGTCTTTAATTCTTAACTTATGGGGGAGAGTTTGTGGTGGGAGGGGAAGGAGAGGAGGAAATGCAGCTCCTACCAGGCGTTGCTGACTCCAGCAGTTCTTCAGCAGCAGTAATTACTCATTTTATATATGCCTCTCTCGGAGGAACCGAGAAGGGAGAAAGTCCAAGCTGTTACAGAAGCAGCAACAGCCGAGAATTCTTGATGTTAAATTGTGCGGTACTGTTGTTGACTATGAAAATAGATTCAGCAAGACTACTGGAGCAAAAAGAAAAATACCTCAAGGAAGGACAGCAGAGTTCTCCCACACTTTTACTTACTATGTTACTTACTAAAATGGAATTCATTTTAGGACATGGCAGGGCTGTAAAATTAGGTGGCATCAAGGGACATAGTGCATTTGGTGTGAAAAGAAAGAGGGACTACGTAAGATAATCCCAAACTTGTTTGAAAACTGCATCTTTGTGCTCTTCAATATTTGTAGAGCATGTGTATAATTTGGGGCTAGTTATTTGAAGATATTTCTGAGAGGAGGCAACCAAGGGAAATTACATTATTTCCTTCTTTGGGGACCTTTAAGGATTAGATGGTTGTTAGTTCAATCCTGTTTGAAAACATGATGCTGGGATAACTGATATTTGGAATTTCCATCAGGCTCTGAGGTGCTGTCATTTCAAAGCCCTCCAGGTATTTTGTGTATACAGAGTAAATATAGAGGACGACATCGGGCAGAGAATGAATGAATTTGTTGGGGGGTGGCAGGATGTGGGTGAAGAAGTATTAAATACTACTTGTTCCCTTCAGAGATTACTATGGAGAGAAATTACTACAGTTGTGCAAACAGTTTTGGAAAAAAATCTTTTGAGCCATGTAACCTAGCAGTTCTATTCCCAGGTTATATACCCAGTAGAAATGAAAACAGGTCCCCACAGAAACTTGCCCATGAATGTTCATGTTAGCATTATACATGATACTCAAAAGATGGAAACAACTTGAATGTCCATCATTTGATGAATGGATAAATAAAATGTATATTTATAGAAAGGAATGGAGTACTGACATATGCTATAACACGGATGAACCTTAAAAATATTATGCTAACTGAAAGAAGAGAGACACAACAAACCCTGAATTATATAATTCCATTTTTGTAAAATTTCCAGAATATACAAATTTATAGAGTCAGAAAGTTAAATGAATGCTTGTTTAGGATAGATGGGGAAAGGAGGAAATGGAGGTTGACTTACTAATGATTATGGTTTTTTGGAGGGTGGGGGGTTAAAATGTCTTAACATTCAGTGGGGTGATGGTTGCACAACCTGAAAATATAATAAAAACTGTTGAATTATATTTTAAAGGGTGAATTTGATGGTATGTGAATTTTATCCCAATAAAGCTATTCAAAAAAATCATTCAACCTGCCAACGTGTTCTAATTAGCCCATAAAATGTACCTTGGCTCACTTCACTTTTTTTATACCCAAATTGCTTCCTTCTCCTCCAACCTAAACTCACGCAATTCTTTTTGCTATTCTCAATGGATACCTTTTTTATAGATATGCTATAATACGGGCTGTGCAAAAACTAACAGCTGATTTGTTTGGGAGCAATAGTAGGAGGACCAGAGGCAGCCTTTGTTTAAGGCAAATAATTCTGAAGATGAAATAAGTGCTGTTGCTTGCAATGTAGCAGAATTATCATGTTGGTTCCAGACCTCACTTGTGTATGACTGATGACTGCAGTAGTTGTTTTTCACAGCGTCATCTTTGAATGTGAGGGAATTACTAAACCAACCCCATTTCCCCTCAGTTTGTGAGTGGTGCAGGATTATCATGAAGATCCAGGATAAATCATGCCTTCTCTAACATTTTACTAAACTCCTACTTCCCAGGTGCCTTAAGTTCCTTCAGCTGAGAATTTTTTTCTTATTTTCCGGAGTAGAGGAAGTGACAGAGCCTAGAACTAGAAGTAGTAAACACAGCCGGTTGACAAGGTTTAGGGAGGCAGTTATGCTCAAACAAAACTGGATGAACAATTGTATTAGCCAGCAGAGGGTTTGTATCAGAAACACACTTATTACAGCAATGTCACAAGGCCCCCCTCCTTTCCCATTGGCCTTCCTGCTGGGTTCTTTCAGGACAGGGAGACCTGTAGTTGTATTTTTCTTCTGAGACCACACCTCTCATTTGTAATCATTGGTTTTGGAAACAACAGCCCTGGCAGTGACAGGAAACTGGAAAAAGACTCTCTGGCGACTGAGGAGGGCAGAAGAGGATAAACAGCCCTGAGAGATTGGATTTGTCTTTTAGATAAGTGAAGACCTGTGTCATTTCTCACTGCTGCACAAACCAGCTCCTTGAGCCCTTTAACTGAAGAAAGTGCACCCAGTCCCCTCTGTGAGCCTCCGGAGTGTGGAGTGCGGTGCCTCGGTGCCTCAGTGCCTTGGATGCTTCTTGGTTCCTGACTACGACTGTGCACCATCAGAGGCTTGTTTACAATAGCATGCTTTCATTTAGTTGCTGGAATGGCAACAGTTTTGTTTCCTATCATCTAATTTTTACTTGTGATCTGCTTTTATGTGGTCAAGCGAGTCTTTTCTACTTCCAACCTAATTGCTTGCTTCTTATGAAGAGCTGTTGAGGGTAAGCCCATAGTTAGCCACTGCACATGAATTTAAAAGATACAGGCATTGGCATTTATGTATTTGTTCTGACATTAATGGAGGGACTATTAATGGGTGTGCCAGTGCCTGGCTGTGGGGGTGGAGTAAGGATCAGGAAACTCTCTTGACATAGGAAAAGGGCCAGATTTAATAACTTCACCCATCAGAAAGCACGTAACTCCATAATTTTATATATTTGCTTCTCTGTCTCATTCCAAAAGAAGATTTGGGATGGGCTTCCAACAAGAGACATACCAACAATGTAAGCAGAAGTACAAAATGAGAACCAAAGAAAAAAAGAAGAGTGAGGCTTGTTGGCTGTGTGGGTTCACATAGTTGCTATGATTGAGTTTGAAATTTGGCTCTAAGCTTCTTGGCAGGCATGGCCAAATGGGATGTGTGGTTAATCACACATGTGGCTCCAAATTGCTTTTACTTTATACCTTCTTTGAGGACTGTGGCATGAACTTGTCCCCTTCTTGGTTCTTTTGGGGGCAAGAAAACCTACAGTTAGGAGAAAGAGAAGGAAGTAAACACATCTGAAATGTTAACTGTTCTGCTTTCCTCTTAATAGCTCCCTTATCCTACAAATAACAGTACCAGCAACTAGTGGTAGCAGTTGGTACCTGCTGTGGGCCAGCCCTGTGCATGAAGGGTACAAGCTCTGCCAGTCCCCAGCAGCTTGAGGACGTTTGGGTTTGGGGAGGTTAGACAAGCAGATGATGAGTTGTGGAGCTGCCTCTGAGCAGTGTTGATACTACAGTTCAAGCTTTCCCCACACTTTTGAGATGGCCTCTCTTGTACATTCATCTTTTACCTTGTTCCGTCCTGCAAACTCTGCTAACCAGGCCTGTGGGCTCTATCAGTTGGCTGAGACGGCATGTGTCCCAGGGAGGGTTTGGGTTTTGTGCATAGGCTTTCCAATCGTTGGGGTCCTTTCTTATTTCCTTGGTGTTTTAGGGACAGTATTAAGGTTGATACGTGTGTGGCAGTGTTTCTTTTTTTCTTTTTCATGGTTTAGGATTATCACACCGAATGTCAGTAATTATAAAAGCAGGGCTGAGCTCAGGAGCCATTGTGCTCCATGGGGTTGTTAATTCCCACATTAAATGTCACTGCCAAGGGAGCTTTTATC